GTGTGTGTGTGTGTGTGTGTGTGTGTGTGTGTGTGTGTGTGTGTGTGTAACAGAGTTCCGATATGTATCGATATGTAGCCCTGGCATTATGTAGACTAGGCTGGCTTCAGACCCAACAGTCAGCCTGACTGTTGGGATTAGAGGTGTGTGTGTGCCGAGTGTAGGATGCCATCTCTGCTTTTTAACATTTTCTAGTCATGATCTGGTGTGGCAACAAAGTCTAAACAGAGTATCCATGTCTGGAAGAAATCAGTTGCTCTTTCTGCTTGAAAGCTAGATCTGTGACTGTGGCTCAGCTTTGCCTAGAGCTCATACCTGGCCAAAAGTTCAATGGTCTCCATGGTAACAGATAGGGAATAAAGCCACAGGAAAGGATGTGTCCAAAAAGAATTCATTACTCTTCGTACACTCAATTTATTTTATTTGAGTCCCCTAACACCAGAACTCCTTGCCTCAATGGGTCTTGTGCACAGTGAGAGTGGTTTTTCTGCAGGACAGAGCAGAGGGGCGGAGAGAGCAGACTCTACCACATTCTCCACCACAGTGGAGACTGAGGTCCATAGTTCTACCACACACATTGTAGTTTTGAACTAGGGTCTCACAGTGTAGCTCAGACTCACCTCAAACACAATCCTCTTGCCTTAGCCCACCGAGTGATAGGATGACAGGCACAGGCCACCATGGATGGCTTGTTTTTTATCTTTTTTTTTTCTTAAATTTGTGTGTGATCTATGTGTTTCTGCAAGCGTACCCATGTCATGGCACGTGTGTGGGGGTGGTCAGAGGGCAACCTTCAGCACTGGTCTTTGCTTGAGACTAGGTCTCTTATTTGTTGCTGCGTATGCCAGGCTGGGGCATATGAAGAGTCTTGTCTCCAACTCCCGTCTTTCTGTACAAGTGCTGGGATTACTGACGGACAATACTGTACCAGGCCCATAAAGATGTGCCCTCAGGTTTTCACCCTTATAAGGCAAGCACTATACCCACCATCCACCTTCTCTGCCTTTTGCTTTCCCTTTCTTCTTTCTCTCTATTCCGTTTCCACCTTCGGTGTTACTGGGGACTACAACCAGACCTCTGTGCATGGTAGCGAAGTCCTCTGCAGCTCAGCCGCTGAGTCACAGTCTCAGCCCCTTTGAAAAGTGTCTTAGCTAAGCAGTGTCCTCCTGCATCTGTCTTTGCTACTTGGGAGGCCAAGAGGGAAAGGTCAAGTGAATCCAGGTATACAAGACCAGCCCTGACCAACACAGTCTGCTGTTACTGCAAACAAAATGCAATTATTGTTATAATAAATAGCAGTTTATCTTATGTTTGAGGAGCTGTTTAATGACCGTCCATCATTTTAAAGATACTGGCCTTGATGTACATTCTATTGTTGATCATGAGACCCCAGAAGGCAAGTGCGGTCACCACCCCCATTTTAATAGGTAAGAAGACAGGTTAGAAGATGCTGGCCAAGTGTCTCCCAACACTTAGTATCTAAATATACAGGTTCACTCTGTGAAGCTGTGGTGCCGTTGTTTAATGAAAAACTAGCTTAGGCATTGCTGTGATGATTTTTTCCCCCCAAGATGTGATTATTTCTTAGATGTGTGACTTCAAGAACAGCAGGTGAATGGGGTCCCACTGAACTAGCTAATGGCTTTAAGAGTAATGGCTAAAGTTTTCCCAGAGAAGGCATGTTGTCTATGAATTCTGGGGTTTGCCAGCTTCCATGGCCGTGCGCGCCAAATCCTTGCAGCAAATCTATTATTGGTTTGCTTTTGGAAAGCAATGGTCGACGCAGGAGAGCAAGTTGGGAGGTCAAGCCCCTACTTATTCTTCTGCCCAGGGAAGGCCAGGTCCTGCTAAGAGGAAGGACTCAAGTCCAGAGGCTCTGGTCTTGCTGCTGCCAGTTCCATATTGTAAAAGGTCCCTCACAGGCTCATGTATTTGAACACTTGGTCCTCAGCTGGTGGCCTTGTCTTGGGAGGTTGTGGAACCTTTTGTAGTTGGGACCTAGCTGGAGGGAGTAGATCTCCAGGGACCCAGCCTTGACACTGTCAGCCAGGCTCCACTTCCTGTCCTAATTCTGCTCCTGATCCATGGAGATGTGAGCAAACAACCTCCTGCCACGGCTGTCACAAGCTCCTCTTGCCCGTCATGGCTTCTCTACCACAGTGGACTCCATTTCAAATCATGAGCTCAAATAAATATTTTCTCCTTCTAGGTTGCTTTATTGGGTTATTCTGTCACAGATATGAGAAAGCTCAGAAACCTCGTGATCTCTTTTACCTGTCTCCCAAAGAAGACTCCCACTGAGGTAGAGTAGAGCGTGGCAGGGAAGGGCTGATCTGCTAAGAGATGTCCAGACAAAGGCAGCAGAGACCAAGAGAAGGTGATGTGTTTATTGTAGGACATCTGGTCCTGAGAATCAGGCTAGTTCTGGGACCCCAGTGGAGATGCTTCTCTCAAAAGTCCCAGCACAGAACAGACATATACAATAGACTCCAAACCAGTTGCACATAACTACAGAGAGGCTGGTAAAGGAGGTGGAGGGGTGAGAGCCAAAACGTACACACACACACACACACACACACACACACACACACACATAACAAACGAATGTGCGGGTTCCTATGCTAATTGAGAAAACGGCAGCGCCTCGTCTGCATCCAGCTCTTTCCTTACTCTGTTTCTGTGAGACATTCATTGGCTCAGAAAAGCCCTATCGCCGTTAAATGTGACTCAGTAGCATGTGGCTGCCTTCCTGGCAGCCCCTGCTGTGCTCTTGGATTGGCAAATGAGTCAAAGAGAACCAAGATGGGAGGCCAGGTGTGGTGGCATACACGGGAGGCTGAAGCAGGAGGATCAGGAGTTCAAGGACAGCTTTGGCTACGCACCAAGTTTGAGGGTAGCCTTAGCTACAACAGAGCCATCTCAAAAAAAGCCCCCCCCAAAAAAAAGAAAAAGAAAACAAACAAAAACCAACCAAGACACATCATTTCAAAAAAAACAAAATTACAATTTGTTTCTGTGGTTTTCTGCACCTTTCTTCCAATTCTGATGGGTGAACAGCATGTCCCCTGACCAAAAACAAAAGAAAACAAAAAACAAAAACAAAAAAAACCCCAACCACAAGAACATCTTAAGCACAGGCTATGAGTCATAGTCATAACATATTGCACACGGTGACAGTGTTTCTGAGCCCCTCGCGCTGCAGATCCCAGACACAAGCTTTTGCGCCAGCAATCTCTTGCCTGTCAATGCTGGTGTCATATACCACGTTGGTCCCCCCACTTTTCTAATATTCCACAATATGATTACCCTTTACTATTGGCCAAACTCGGGATCAGTTTAACCTCAGCGCTATAAGCACGTGGTGGAAGGAAGTGAGGATCAGTCTTTGTCTTCCTCTCAACAACATTCCTCCACCAGGGGGCAGTAATCTAAGTCCCAACAAGTGAACTAGCATCCTAGGGGTGGACTCTTCCAGAGTTGAGAGCCTGAGGGGTGGTAATCCCCTCGCTGTTGTTATCCACCAGTTGGTCCTAAGTTGGGTTAATAAAAAATACAGCCTCATATGGGACAGACAGTGTGGCAATTCAAACTGTTTGCTCCTACGGAATTTTCAAGTATTCACAAAATCCCTGACACAGTATGTAAACAAGATGGGTTTTTTTTTTTTTTCAGGATAGAAAGCTAGATTGTTGGAGGAAGCAGCAGCATGTGAAATATCTAGAAGAATGAAAAGATTTGGGGTTCAAAAACAAAGGGCAAGATAGCCACTCACTGTGCCACATGGGGTCAGTGCTCAGGCATAAACACGGGCCACGGGGCCCTTGGAGCGGAGCTAGCGAGAGAAAGACACTCAGGATGGATTTTCTAGGGACATAGACAAACGTGCCAGGCGCCCCTTTCTTTTTCAGTGGCATAGCTGTGAAAAGTAGTTTTTGAGAAGCCTGGATGTATGCAGTCCTCAATGTCCAAGTCCGATATGTTCCATTGGCTCCCCCAGCTCAAGGGAATGGTCACAGAGCCATGTCTTTGTCCTCCATGCACACATGGAAGAGGTTTCCCAGAGAGATGCCGTAGGGTGAGATATGTCCCTGGATGTTTTGTTTGTTTGTTTTTAAAAAGAGTACCCTCTCTATTGAAAGGTACTAGGTTCTTTGCCTCATCTGGATGAACTCTTCTCTTAGGTGTTTACTTCCTTTGTCTGGGTCTTCTAGGACTCTCCCTGTGGTCCAAATGTGGCCTAGCTGTCAAAACAGCCTGCGGGGAACATATGGCTCCCACTGAAGTAGCTGCTTCCGTAGGTGGCAGCAAGACAGTGCCTGGGTTCAGCTGCTATGGCCATCTGCATGCTAAGGGATGCAGGGACGGGCACAGGACACATATCCAAGGGCTGGAGAGTTGGGTATGGCGTGTGGAGGGATGGACCAGTGTCTCCTGAGAGCAGGGTCCCTGAGCAGTGGGCCTGCAACGAGTCCCGATATGCCAAGCACAAGTCCTGCGCTGGACTCTGGAACTGGGCTAGTGTTGGCGGTGGCTGGCTGAGAGTAGGGTAGGTGGGTGGTTGGAACAGCACTTGGGCGGGAGCTGATGATGAGCCCGGCACCATGGCCAGTGTCTGGCTCTTGACTGCAACGGCATCCTTGAGGACATTGTCATATGCTCTGAAAGGAAAAGGCTCAAGTGAGTTTTAGAGATCAAAGGCCACTAGCCTCCTGCTTACCTTCCTCAGTAAGTGGAACAGTGCTACACCAGTCTATGATGACACATTGTAACACAGCCACGGCTATCTACCGACCAGACTCAGGCCTCAGGTCTCAGCTTGCAGCTGTCTCTGTCCCCAAACTTCCCTGATCCTGTGCAAGGTCCGCCAAACTTGTCCACGCAACCCCTGTACAGTGGCAGAAATTTCCCTGCCCAATCTATTTGCAGGGAGAGGCCTATGATTGGATAGGGAAAAGAGAGGCTGACCTAAGGGAGGCAGAGACAAGAAGGCAGAGAGAAACACAGGAGAGCAAGGAAGAAAATGGCAGCAGACCCGCATGGTTTCAAGTAAATAGTTAGATATGAAATCTAAAGGTTAGGAAAATTGAGATAACTTTCTAAGTTGTGTATTGAGGTTTTATTGATATATATAAATCCATTGGTTAACGTTAAACATCTAGAGTTTTGATTTACTTGGTTACTAGAAGGTGGTTCGCCAACAACCAGGTAGTTATGGCTGTAAAGGAACTAGCGGCTCCAGGGACAAGTAAACTGGAGCTGGAAGCACAGTGATTAGTGGCTATGGGGGCAAGCTAGAGAGAGTAGCCTGGTGGAACCAGCTCAGGAGCTCTGGCCCTGCTGGACAGCTTGCTGAGACAAAATGGGCTTAGTGCAGGAACATGGCGGGAGCCAGCCGGATGTCTTCTGTTTTAATATCTCCCGCTATACCATACCAACACATCTTGGCTGTTAACGCCTCAGAAGGTAGTTTGGGTCCCACCTGCTTCTGTTCATTCAGCATCCCAGCACTTGGCAGAGTACCTCTGCTACTTTCTAGGTTCTTCTGGCCCAGCTCTATCCCCAGCTGAGTGAATCTTTGTCAGATATGAAGCAAATTGCACACTGGGGTCTGGAAGACTTCATTTGAATAGAGGACACAGTGGGCAATCTTTTGTTATTTCCCTCCATGTCAAATAAACAAACCTTTTGGTGAAAGTACAATGAGAGGCATCCGAAAGAAAGAAACATTATAAAGTCTGCAACTTATTTGAGCAAGGATTTGCCAGCATGACAGCCAGCAATGACAAGCAAAGTGGGCCTGGTGGATGATACTGGAGTGGCCATCAGTGGTCAAAACAGGTTATGTACTGACTTGGGGACTTTTTTGTTTCTTATTGTTTTTGTTTGTTTGTTTTGAGACATGTTTCTCTGTGTAGCCCCGGCTGTCCTGGAACTTGGTTGGGCTCAAACTCAGAGATCTGCTTGCCTCTGCCTCCCCGGTGCTGGCATTAAAGATGTGTACCTGTATCACCTGGCTTAACTTGGGGACTTCCAAAAGTATATAATTAAAGACAGCCTAGGGAGCAGGGCTAACATCTTAGAATGGGGCTCTGGTATCACAGCAAAACTGTTGGCATTAGGGTGTTGAGAGGTGGCTCTTTGGGGACTGAAGGACTTCTGCTTCTGCTACCCATACCTTGGTCAGTCAGGCTAGCATTCAGACTGGTGGAAGAGGGAGGTAGCCATGCAAGGGCTATTCTTCTGTCTGCATTCCTCCTGGTAGCCATTATTGATCTCTTTGGCTGCCAATCTCTATGTCACAGTGTTAGATCTAAAATGACCCTTGACCCTTTGAAAGAGGCTTCAATCTCTTAGTTGGAGGCACTTTGGACCTGGTTGGCTAAGTGGTCACCTTTGCAGCTTGCCTGAGAAAAGGAGCTTATGAGAGAATGAATTCACAAAATCACACTGGGACTTAGATCAATTAACCCAGACATGATGGAGTTTGGTTGATAAGAGTACTTGCCTAGCATGCAGGAGGCTGAGTTTGACCCTTAGCAGTAAATAAACTGGATGTGGTGGCACACACCTGTAAAACCAGCACTCAGGATGGAGGGGCAGAAAGATCCGAAGTTCAAGGATAGCTCACTAGCTACATAGTGAGACTGAAGTTAGCCTGGGCTATGTGACATCCTGTCTCAATAACAAAATGCAAAGATAGGTTGAGTGTGGACAGAAATACAGGAGCAGATGCCCCCAGTCCTGCTCCTCTTTTCCTCCTCTCTCCAATCTTAAAAGTACAAATAGAAACAGGCAACTCTCGAAGCCCCATTCTTAGGGTTTTGAGACAGAGTTTCACTATTTCTCCTAAACTGGACTCCAGTCAATCCTCTGGCTTCAGTCTCCCAAGTGTTAAGATTATAGTTGCAAACCGCCGTACCAGCTTTCCAAATACCACTTCTGTCAGGAGTCACTCTGCCCATTTTGCCTGCAACACTTGCAGACACAGGAAATCCTCCCTAGCATTAGCCCCCCCCAACAAATAGAAGGTCAGTATTTCAGAAAGATAGCCAATCAGGAGAGGACTTACACCAGCAGGATTTCGATACATGTGCTGAGATGCTCCAGGGAGTAGCTCGAGACCCTCTGCAAGTCTCTGGTCCAGTAGGGAGAGAGCTGAAGGCAGATCCTGGAAGCCCCAACACAGGCTGCAGCGACCACGGAAGGCTGGAATTTGTAAAATATATGATCTGAAAGAGAATTGCAAAGGGTAGGTATTAGCGTTGGAAAGTCGCCCCACGGAGTCTCCTGGTTGGTCTGCCGAACAGCAGACAAATGAATCCGCTCAAGGGCTACGCAGTGCTGGCTTTTTACAAATGGGGTAAGAAACTAGAAAAGATCAGGTACCATTGTTTGGGCTTAAAGGTTTTGGTGTTCAGTTTGTGGCTTCCGGCATCAGCCTAGAGGGACAATTTTTTAAAACATTGTCTATACTCCCAGAAAGCTTCAAGATGCATGCTGATGGGGTACAAACAGAACCACAAAAATCTTTCTTCTTTTTTTTTTTTGGTCATTATTGATGGACAGAATCTGGCCAACGGCTGCTTGCATAGCAACAATGTCTGGTCCTCAGCAGGCACCGGAAATCTGATGAAAAACAAATGAATGGCTGGGTAAGTCTGATATTAATAACTTTGTCTAGGCTCACGAAGTGAAGATATTTAAATCACGTTTATTTACATATTACTATACAGGCACGTGATGTGTGTAGGATATACACCAGGAGGTCAGAGGACAATTTTCTAGAGTTAAATTTTTCCTTGTGCCAAGTGGGATTCAGGGATCGAATTCAGCTCCATCTTCCACTGAGCAATCTCACCGGCCCCAGAAAATTTCCGTTTTCTTAAGACATCTGAAGATAGGTTAATGGGTACAGTGGACACTCCTGTACTTTTCATGGGTGATATTTGGTACATTACTATTTGTTATTAATTGCTCATAACTTTCAATTACTTCAGTGTCTGCCTTTGAAAGTATCAATCCGTTTCGGGCCAAATAGTTATAGGAAGAGTCATAGAGACAGGCTTTCAGGTTCAAATCTTGTCACTGACCTTTTCCAGGAAGTGATTTCACTTCTTGAGTATAAAATTCCTCATTTATAAAATGGGAATGACTGAAACAACTTCGAAGGGGTCTGTCTTAGGGTTACTATATTTGCGACCAAGCACCACGAACAAAGCAACTTGGGGATGAAAGGTTTTATTTAGCTTATATCCTAACTCAAAGTCCACTGACGGAAGCCAAGACAGAAACTCAAACAGGAGAGGAACATGGAAGCAGGAGCTGATGCAGAGGCCATGGATGAGTGCTGCTTACTGGCTTGCTCCCCATGGGTTACTAGGTCTGTTTTCTTATAGAACCCAGGACCACTAGTCCAGGGATGGCAACTACCCACAATAGGCTGGGCCTTCCTATATTAATCACTAATTAAGAAAATTCTCTACAGGTCTGCTTATAGCCCCATCTTATGGAGGCATTTTCTCAATTGAGGCTCTCTTCCCTCAGGTGACTTTACTGTGTCAAGTTGACGTAAAACTAGCCAGCACAGGGTCATTGTGAAGTTCAAATGAGTTAATGTACACCAAGTTCTGCAGCAAGACACACGGTAAGGGCTCAGTCAATGCCTAATAATCCCAAATCACTGATATCCCTACTTGGAGCTATTTGTCTTATGGCGTGTCAATATTATTACTGACCAGCGTCTTACCTAACACCTAGATTTAAAACTCTGTTTTGGAGAGCAGCAGATATGGCTCAGTTTTAGAGCATTTACTCTATAATCACTGAGTCCATGAGAAGGTGTGTGACACACACACACACACACACACAGAGAGAGAGAGAGAGAAAGAGAGAGAGAGAGAGAGAGAGAGAGAGAGAGAGAGAGAGAGTGAGTTCTCCAAACAGGGTAACTTGTGTGTTTTCATGTGTGTAAGTGCACATTTGCAGGTACGCATGAGGTTCAACCTCAGGTGTTCTTCCTTGGCAGCCAGCAACCTTGTTTTTTTGAAAGAAGGTCCCACACTGGAACCTGGGGGTCACTGATCATGCTGCTGGCTAGCTAGCAAGCACTGGAGATGTCCCTGTTTCTGCCTCTCTATCTCTTGGATTGCAGGTGTGTCTGTCACTATGTCTGGCTTTCTCTGTGGATTCTGATGCCTGAACTCAGAACTCCTCACACGTTCACGGCAAGCATATTACAGCCTGGGCTGTCTTCCCAGCGCTCCAGGCAAGCCAACTTACTGCCAATGCAGATGTGAACATCGTCACCCGCGCCATTCTATTTAATCTGTGTGATGACAGCTCCTTGGGAATGAGCTACTTGTGAGTTGGTGTGATTTAAAGGTTCCCATAAGAAAACTTCCCAGGTGAGTTGCTAGCCTCTAGGTACTGGTGACTTTTTGGGTAAGCTGCTATTTTGTTTCTGCATTATGCTATAGCACAGGGTGTATATCCTGCATTTCTTCGCAAAGTAGAAAGTGATATGGGCATGGGGGTTCTAGCCATGAAGGAAGGCCCTCTCTGGATGACATCTCTCTTGAGGCAGCCCCCCCTCCATGCTTCTCCCTCATCCCACGGCCTCTATGCTCTCACCTTGCAGGGTAACTTCCAGGAAGTAGTGAGCATACTCCTTGAGGCACTCTTTGGTCTTTCGGAGGCAGGTGGTGGGCCAGGCGTGGCAGTGGTGGTCCTTCTGGCTGATGGAGGCCAAGAGGTAGTAGTCCAGAAAGTGGGCAGGCGTGGGCAGGCAAAGGTCCCAGCTGAAAGCCTCCAGGAGCAGAAGTTCTGTGGTCAGCAGCTCCTTCTTGGTGAGGGAGAAGTTTTGGCTGCTCAGGATCCTTGTATTGTTTATCTGCTCCAATTTGGGCACACGGTCTTCCCTGTCCTCAAACTTACCTACGGGGAGGCAGAAGCAGAACTTACCAGAGGAAACTGAACCCAGGATGGTAAATTCTCCCCTATGATGTCTGGATGGTGTTGATGAAACGGACAGGAAGGAACAGGTAGGAGGAAATAAAAGGTCACATTTGAATCTGGAATCCTCAAGCCATCACTTCCTGCTATGTCATTGTGATGAAATGCCTCAATCTCTCTGGCTCCAAATTGCAAGGGGAACTGGAATGAGGCTTATTGAGGCTTTTGTTTGAGTCCACAAGAAAATGTACACAAATGCTCAGATACACGCCTAGAACATCAAAGGCACTGGAGAGCAGTCAGGAGCAGCTTTTAGATTCTAGGGGAGAGGTTCCCACATTTTTTGTCTGGCCATCACCAATTCAGCTCGCCACTGTCCTCCATGGACCTCCTATTCTAACCATGTCAGTTTTAGTTTGCGTTGCCTTGGAAACAAGCGAAGGTGAGTTCAGAAAAAGACTGGCAAACTGGTGAAGGCAAGAGGGAAAGGAAGAGAACCCCAAAGGAATCCTTAAGAGGTACAGCTGTGGACAACTGGAGTCTGACAACATACGAAGGGATTCTGAGAAATGGTTGAAATATAGGCTTTAGGCCTTGGGTTATACCTTCAACAGACATAAACAGGGGCTTCTCTGGCACTAAGGGTCAAGACAAGAAGCTATTGGGAGACATGACAGGCACACTTTGTGAGGCTCTGCAGGGTGGAGACCTCAGACTAGGCACTGCTTTCTCAGGATACAACTTCATATCTGGCAGTGGACCTTATCTGTCTTAGTTAGGGTTTTCCTGCTGTGAACAGACACCACGACTGAGGCAACTCTTATAAGGACAACATTTAACTGGAGCTGGCTTACAGGTTCAAAGGTTCAGTCCATTATTATCAAGGTGGGAGCATGGCAGCATCCAGGCAGGCATGGTTGCTGAGAGTTCTACATCTTCATCTGAAGGCTGCTAGTATAAGACTCACTTCCAGGCAGCTAGGACAAGGGTATTAAAGCCCACACTCACAGTGACATACCTACTCTAACAAGGTCACACCTCCTAAAAGTGCCACTCCCTGGCCCAAGCATATACAAACCATCACAGTATCACTGGCGGCTCTTTGAAAGCACAATGTCTCCTGGCCTTGTCGTCACAATTTCGTAGCTCAGAATACCCTTCTCCATCCCCTCTTCACTCAGCCAAGCTTGATGTGTCCTTCACTTCCAAGTCACTGCCTCAGGTAAGCCTTCCCTAACTGAGCCACTTGATGGTCAGCCTCGGTCTGGTTTGTGAAGTCCAAGCAGCCTCATAGGGTGCAGAGCATCTGCTGAGCAAATTTGGGGGTTGGGGAGACACAGATGCCTTTGCATACCTGCTCATGGCTGTGGCCACTGACTCTCGGATCCCATTAGCCACCAGCCTCTCTGTCTCTCCAGAAAGATAAGAAGCACCCACCCTAGGCTGCCCTGTAGACACTCCTATTCTAAATGCAAGGATGCCAGGGAAAATTGAAAGGAAACTTTGGGAATCTAGGGATCTTTGGGCGAACAACAGCTTCAAAGATGGGTAGACATGAGTTCAAGAGCAGAGAGAGCAGGTGTATACAATAGGGCGAAACAGAGACCACTCTTTCTGGTCAGGGTCAATCTCTTTCCAGAGTGCAATTTGCTGCTGCAATGGGGATGCCCTCAGAGGGTGTGGCCTCCATGGAGAGCTGGGGCAGGTAGTCACAAACTGTCCAAGCAGGGAAAAGCTTCTTTATGGCTGCAGTCTGTGCCCCACTGGCCTTTGCAGCTCATATCCAGGTGTCCTCCTCCTCACAGGATATGGTCCCACAACCAAGGACCCTCCTCCATGGAGTGCTTATTTTAATATGTTCACTTATCCTGTGCCTTTCAAAGCTTAGTTGAAAACCCATCTCAACATCGCCACCAGCCAACTCTAAGACCTTCTGTAGGTGGACAAATGAGTGGACACTGGATGGGTGGTTCTTCTCTCTTGCACTGGAATGACACTATTTGTTGTTTCTCTGGGGAATTTACATCCCCTATGGTTTTCTCCAATAACCATGCATTTATTTAACTTTTTAAGTTTTTAAATTTTCTTTTAAAGAAAAAAAGAAAAATAAAGACATTTGAAAGAGTTTAAATTTTTCTTTAAAGACTTTTTATCAGTTTTTCCTTTCCTTTTCTTTTTTCTTTCCTCTTCTTTTCTTTTCTTTTTTTTTTCTTTTCTTCTCAGACATAGTCTTATTGTGTAGCTCTGGTTGGCCTCGAACTCACAGAGACCTGCCCACCTCTGATTTTAGTAAGTTTAATTGTGTGTGTGTGTGTGTGTGAGAGAGAGAGAGAGAGAGAAAGAGAGAGAGAGAGAGAGAGAGAGAGAGAGAGAGAGAGAGAGAGAGGGCGCAAACTGCAGGTGCTCTCATGGGCCAAAGCGTATCAGATCCCCTGAAACTGCAGTTAAAGGTGGTTGTGGGTCTTGGGAACCAGTCTTCTGCCAAGAACATCACAAGCTCTTAAAATAAGTCAAGTCAGTAATTACAAGAGTGCAGTAGACAGGATAATATATTTTAAATAAATCACTTCAGAAGCAGCAATTTTGCCCCCAAATTGCCCAGCTTTCCACGAACCTCATATAGAACTGAGCTAATCTTTGTCACATATACTAAATTGAACCCCACCCCCATCCCCAATTTGGTGCTGGTGATTGGATTCTCATCCTCACACAGGCAAGGAAGTGCTCTACCACTGAGCCACACCCTGGTCCCCATGAGGTTTTTTGGGGGGATGGAGGGGGAGTGATATGGGAACATAAAGTGGCAGGGTAAGGCGCCTAGCCCAGGCAGGACTGTTCACTGTGCTGAGGGCGGCCTACAGCAGCATCACTGGCGGCCAACCATCTATCTGGAGGCACCAGCTGATATACTCAATCAGATTACTTTCCTCTGCCCCTCCCTGCTTTTCAAACCTTTCAGAACCTTGCTACCAGGCCTCAGAGGATTAACTCCCAAAGGAGGGGGGTGGGTCACAGCTTACTGAGAAGGGATCTCACTTTCCTGCCTCTCTTACTCCCCATACATACAGAGGAGGCCTCTTGGGGGACCCTCCACATTGCAGGCTGCAGCCAGGCAGGCCTGGGTCTGAATCCTCAATGAGTTTCCTCCGGTGCTAGCAGGCGTGAAACCCTCCGGGCTGTTCTTTTGTTTATGACTAGGAATATACCCCACGTGGAAAGAGAATGATCCTGCAGAATGGAAAGTGCTTCAGCAGCACCCAGCATACCACTGAGTCTCTCCATGCTGGGTCCTCAAAGGGATGGCTAGTATTCCCAGGGCTCCAAACACAGATGACGGAGAGATGTGGTCTCCAGCCCCAGAAGCGTCTGCCTCCGGAGTCCCTGCTTCTCTTTTTACCCACAGTGACTTCATCTTCCACATTGTTTCCTAACACACACAGCAGCCAGGACCGGCTTTCTGAGTTTCCTAGCTTTGCACGTGCCCAGCAGACATCTCCTCCCTTCCTCCCACGTCTTCAATGCTCTAGCCCTTTGTCCCAGTGCTGCTTCTACCAAGCACCATTATACTTAGCTGCTTCCTCTTTATGAGCAAAATGCACAGAAGACTTGTCTATACGTCTTCAGGGCTGCTCCCAGAGAGATGCTAGGACACAAACGGGGGTCAGACAAAGGCCAGTCTTCCTTGGCAAACTTTTAATTTCAAAAGTCTTTTAATCAATAGAAATCATAGAATGAGGAACACACCCAACTCTTTCCCCACTTTTCCTCTGCTGCAGACAGTTGATTCACACTTACTCCATTTTTGTGTGTTGTATACAAATACTGGCTTTGCAAGTTACAGAAGGGATATGCCACCATCCCCAGCACCCCAATATCTCTTCCTAAGGACATCTTCCTACAAACAGTAAGATATTAATAGCATTAGCACACAACCTTAAACTCAACATCCTATCTTTTGTTCTTGAGACAGGGTCTCATGTAGCCCAGGATGGCCTCAATTTCACTATACGATTGAGGCTGTCCTTGAACTCTGGTCCTCTTGTCTCTACCTCCCAAGTGCTGGGATAGAAGTCTGCTGGTAATAACATCTTTATGTTCTGTCCATATTTGACTTGCTCCAGGGATTCTGAAACACATTTTTTATCCCAGTTGGTTTTGGATCCCAGAGCCAAACTAGGTTCACACAATTTGTCTAAAATCTTTTCAGTCTTATTTCTTAGTGTTTGGGGAACATAGAGTCCAGCTATCTTTTAAAATGTTCCTCATTCTTGATTGGCTGGATTGTTTCCTTCTGGCTAGGCACAGTTTGAACAGTGTGCAGGAAAAGCACAGAGGTGATGGCCAGTCCTCCATGCTGAGTCATGCTGGGATTTACAGATATGGTCCATGTATCTCAGCACCAGACAAGCCAGGTTGTATTTCTTAGCTAAGGTGAGGACATGGGTTCTTTCTGTTCTAAAGATTTCTCCCTTTCCCTGTGAGATTCACAAGTAATCTGTAAAGCCAAGGTGATACCCAGAGATGGAATATCCTGTTTTCCAACAACTCTGTTTCACAGGCTTGTCATTTGTGGATGATATTTTTCCTGAATAAATTATTCTCCTGGAATGGAAAAGGATGTTTTGAAAATTCTGTGATTGCATAGACATTTTTCCTTTTAATTTTCTCCTTGTCTCAATTTTAATGGCTAAGAGTCCTCTTAACATTTGTTTGTTTGTTCGTTTGTTTGTTTGAGACTGGGTTTCTCTGTGTAGCCCTGGTGTACACTTTGTTAGACCAGGCTTGCCTGAAACTCATAGAGAGGTCTGCATGCCTCTACCTCCTGAGTGCTGAGATTAAAGGCATGTACCACCACCACCACCTGGCTGACACCTTTCTAATAAAAGCAACCATGGACTTATAGAAGAACTCACAATGTCTCCCAGAGATCAGTTATGTAAGCAAAGGACTTCCTATCTTCCGTTTGCACACCTAGCTAGTTA